GAACCCAAGACAGTATAAAAATATCTAATGAATTCCCTTCCGTGTTTTTCAAGACTGAATTCCTGCTACTGGAGCCTAATTAGCATTCTAATAATATCATCCCCCTCCTCCTCCGCCTCTTCCCTGCTGACATCCAAATTAGATACTGCGACTTCGTTGCGGACAGAGCCAGCGCTGAGCGCCAGCCTGCATCACTGACTTCCCTGAAAGCAGAATGGGGCTCACTCTGAGGAGCCATGCTATTGTTCTGTCAGTTTGTCAGCCTTGGGAATGAAATGGATGCTTTGTTGGCCCCCGTCTCCCCTGTCCCTTGTGGGGCTGATGAGCTGCTACAGCTGGAGGAGCTTGCACACTCTCTGCAGACATGCAGGGTGGGCCCAGCCAGTGCTTTTTATGCTAATCTACCCTCAGCTCAACGCTGCTGGGGGAGGGGGGGGGTGAGATACCTCTCAGCTGCAATAGCCTCCATCTCTGCCACGTTGGCCTGTGTGCCGCAGAGCCTGTCATGCTAATAGTATCTTTGCAAAAATCCAGTTTCATGTGCACACCATTTTTCAACCCCTCCCTCTTCCTCTCCCTTCCCCACCCCCCAAAAAAGGGAGTAAATCATAGAGGAATCATACAATCCTGGAGATGTCATTGGAGTAAAATACTCTGGTAAGGCATGATGCGGGGAAGAGATTAACCCATTCAGTGCTGATCCCTTATTGTAAAAGCCGTGCCGGCATTTTTTTCAATATACCAGTAATGACAAGCAAACAGTGTATTCAGCAGCACAGGAGGCTCCCAGAACATTCAGTACCCAGAACATTTGGTAGCACAACAGGCATGTTTCACAGGGATGTATCTGATACATACAGCAGGGGCACTCCCCAGTATATTCAGCAGCCTGTCATCCACTTGTGGCTGGCACCCTGACCAGTATCACAGGGGTACTCCCCATAATTTCATATTGGCATAAGTGGGTGCAATCCTAATGACTCCTGGGGAGGTGCACCAATTCACACCAGCTGAGAATTTGGCTTGTTACTTTACTGTAGGAGAAACAAATCGTTAATCCATACAGTAGCCATCCTATTTGACAAGAGATGTAGCACAAACTCTACTACGTGCCATGTCTTGTTCGTGATCTCAAGAAAACTGACCAGAGGAATCACACACTGCCTAGCACTCTCTCTATTGTAAGGAGACGAGCACACACTATGTGCTGCATGCTATAAATATGGGGATTTTTTTGGATACAAGAGTTAGATTTAAAAATGCAAACATGGGCTGGAATGACTGTGATTTACAGGTAAATAAAGAACAGGTCCTACAGGGAGTGTGAGTGGAGCACTGCCACTGGTGTGTCATTATGTAAGTAGTCTCCACTGCTGGGTTCTCCACAGACAGCAAGGTACTGACTGATTAACGATTAACTTCCTGTTTAATAATACTGACTCAGAATAAAGCACAGTGCTCCTGGTAATGCAAGGCAAGCTGAATTGGCTCTAAGAGCCCAATCCTGTCAGACTGTAAAAGCCTCCAACCCTTGGTTCCCGATGAAGTCAATGGGAGCACAAGGTACCCCTCACTCTTCAGGATTAAGCCCTGCAGCTGCCAGCTGAACCCTGCATGCCTTAAGCAACCACAACAACATACCAAGCAAAACATCACACTGGCAAGATGTGGGTGGTTTTGATCTAAATGTCTAAATCAAGGCAGCAAGGCAGAGCTGCCACTCTCTTGGGGATACCCCCCACCCAAACCGAAGTCAAGCCAGACTAATGTCACTCATTAAAGATGTAACTTCTATTGGCACTACCATGATTTGCATTTTTTCACTGGACAGCAAGGAAAATGGTTCCCTCCCCTTTGCACAATTCTACAGAAGCAGCAGGGATGGGATTGCCTTTTAACCCCTTAATCCCCAATGAAAGAGGAAGGTTCCTCATGGTTCTTGTATCTGCTTTTGCTCCCTCCACAAGAACACAGACCCACTGCCCCCTTATAAAGCATTTCCATCAGTATGGTGAGCCCCTGGATTTTTTATTGTTACCAGATCATGCTGTAGCAGTTTCTCACAAAGGAAACCTGGTATGTCAACACTGTCAGAGACAGTACAGTGTTTTCCCTAGGTCTGGAAGAACACAGTCCCTTCTTGACAGTGTTTGAACAATCCCAGGGGATAGGTAATTTCCTTCTATCTGGACAATTTACGCAGGACACAGTTAACATATTGGAAATTCAGATACATTGATTCTGGTCCATGGTTTTAAAAAAAATACCTTCAAATCTATTTAACCCTTTGCATGCACAACATAAAAAGGAAGGTTTTTGCTTTTAAAAGTGTCGTGCCTAGAATCAGTTAGAAAACCTTTTAAAATCTTGTCATGAAATACTTGAATTTTCAGATGAGACCCCAGGAAGCTAGGTACCAAAACTGCATTGCAATTCAAAGGGAAGCGGGCACCTAACTCCCTCAAGTTGCCTTTGAAAATCCAAGTCCCAAATAATAAAGTCAAGGAAAAGCATTTACCACATTTTTTGTCTGTAGCTTTTTGCCATAGGATGGTAGGGGCTTTAGTGCCTGAGGTATAGGCAGTTCCTGGATGCTTTTAGGGAAGTGGGAGGGTGGGAGAGACTGGAGAATAGTTTGCATAGCTTGCAGGTATAAAGAAGCAGGTGTGTTCCCCACCAGGCTGTTGAATTTGTCTTCCCCTAGCAAAGCTGTCCAGTGCTCGGGATGGTCCTGCAGGACTTTCCGCATCTTAAACTGTGGATTAGGCATGAAGAGCAAGAGGTAATCGAGGCAAAGCTTTTTTGATGCCACATTGACTTTGGAGTCCCACATTTGCTCCAGGATGACATCCAGAGGGGTAAGCCCTTTGCTGTCCATGATCCTGGGAGAAGCCCCATTGCCTAGGAGGATGAGGACGGTCTCTGACCTCAGCAATTCACAGGCAAGATGCAGAGGGGTTTTGCCATCTTCCAGATGAAAGCAGCCAGTCCGGTTGATGTAGGAGTTCAAGCTGGGCATCTTGTGTGCAATTTTGATGATCAGCCCCAAAATATCTCTCCTGTCATAGGTGACCGCCATGGCCAAGTGAGGAGCAGAGGATGGACAATAGCAGAAATGTTCCCCAGGTACCTTGAGAGCCTCCTCTGGAAAATGAGACAGCAGATACTGAGCGTAAGGCAGGTGATTATGCACCACTGCATAGAGAAGGGCTTCTGAAGGTGAATACGTTCTCAAGCTGGCATTCTCCTCCCAGTAAAAATATTCCATAGTTCTCATGTCTTCCAGCATCCACACAGGTTTGTGGTCTCGCACAGCCTGGTAGAACATATAAGACAAGAATTTACAGTGCCGGCTCTGGTCATCTTGAAGGCTGGCCTGGTTACTGGCCATGTCTTAGAAAATGAACAAGTCCTCCACACTGGAAGATTTGCTCACTTTGAATGCAGATCCTGATGCTGCTGCAACCTTCAGATTGTCATTGCAGCCTGGACTGCGCTCGCTGGAACGCTTGGGCTGCTCATCTCCACCCATTCATTGTTTTTTCCCTTCACTGCAGTGGTTTTGTTTAGGTAAGCACAATCCCACAGGCTCGGTTAACCCATGCCATGCAAGCAGATGGCTTGGCTTGTGAGTGCACCCTGCTCTGTGCATGGCACAGGTTACCAGAACACTGTCAGACTGCGAGTGATTTCACATCCACAGAGCCGTACAGAAGACAGGGAGATTCTAAAATTAGCTTGAGAGGTGAGGCAATGTTCTGTCTGCATTTGATATCTAACCAGATCAGCTGGTACATTGCAGTAAGTATAACACCACTATGCCTTTATTCTTTGTCTGCCCATTTCTGCATACACTATTCATCACATCGCAAATATATGTTAAAATAAAATACTACACAGTCCATATGTATTGATTATCATATAATTACTAGGCACAGCTTTTGATATCTAATAATGTGATTTGTTTTTCATAAAAAAACTATTACAGCTGGCCCATCAGAGGATACTGATGTTAATGGATTGTCGAAGAGGGATCACCACCGTATAACCAGAACTCCCCATAGAAGAGTTAAAGATGCCATGCAGTTACCACGCCCAGAGTCGGGAAGGGTATTGTGTAGTGAAAGCACTGTTCTTTGTCTGCCAGTTGAAGCTCTGCTGGTGTCCCTTTCTGTTGCAAAGCAGCTGCATAAACTCAAGGTTAATCAGTGGTTTTGTAGGGGTCAAATTCAGAGCTGAGGGCTAGAACAAGGTGTTCTGTATTAAGCAGGAGGTTTTGGACTGGGAGACATAAGGAGGTCCTGATAAAAGAATTAGGATCAAGGCAGCAGCTTCTGAGACAGAGCAGGATACCTGACCCAAGATTTCTGCTAAGAGAAGGTGGTCTGTATGCCATTTGTTACCATCTCAGTATGAGGAAAGAGGACTTGTGTGTATTTTGCAAACAAACATTGCACCACAAACACCCCCCACCCTTCACTGGGGAAGCAAGCTGACACTATGTGAAAGGAAAGCTTCAGGTATAGGGAGAGAAACTATCTCAGGGCTTGAGACCTCTGTTCTCTCCCTCTCCTTTCTCCTTTTGTTTTCTGGGTTTTGAGTGGGATGCTGTTGCGGGGGGCGGGCATCAATCCCTGTAGCAAACTGGTCCAGCTTGAAGCCTGGCAGTTTTTGCTGGTGTGCTCTCTGGGCCAGGGCTAAGAGCCTGACATGTTTTAGTTGCTGTTGCATCTTCTTTTGGGTTCAGCATAGCTGTGTTGCTGAACCCCAGCCATGTAGGCCTTGAGTGGGATGATGCCATGAGTGTATCCTCCCCTAGTGCAGGCTGCCCAGTAATGGGATCCTGGCATCTACTGGGCATGCAGGCCTTGAGTGGGATGATGCCATGAGTGTATCCTTCCCTAATGGAGAATGACCAGGAAACAGGGGCCTGGCAGTCACTGTTTTAGGGACTGTAGCATCTCAGCATGGTGGTATAGCTGAGACTACATGTCCAGGCTGCAGCCGTAAGTCTGGGTCCTTTCTGCTGTTTTACAGCTGCTGCATTTCAGCCCACTGTTGTAGGGCTGAACCCCAGCCATATGTTGGCTGGCAGATTTGGGCCAAGGTGAAGCCCTGGCATTTCATGTTGCTTATTCAGGCCTCAGTGGTGTACAAGCCTGGTTCCTTTTGCAGTTTATGCCCCAACCAAGCACTGTGGTTGGGTGCTAGTTTTGGTTCAGGCCCAAGCCAAACTAGGCCTGGCCCCCTTACATTGTTTCATAACTGTTAGGTCTCCGCATAACAGTGTGGCTGAGACTATATGTCCAGGCCACAGCCAAGCAGGCTTGGCACTTCGTTGTTGTATATTCAGGTCTGGGTGCAGGACAGGCCTGAGGCCCCCTTTAATTGTTTCACAGTGGCTGTGTCTTAGCATAGCGGTATTGCTGAGCCCCGCTATACGTTTGTTTGCTGTATGTCTGGGCCTGGTATGTTTTGGGCCTGGCACAAGTTGTTTTTGTAGCTCTGTGTCCTGACCAAAGTGGTACGGTTGGTGATGGTTGCTGGTCAGGCTCTTTTGCTGTTTTGCTGGGTTTTTTCTGAGCTCTCTTACTTCTCTTGCAGTTTCCTGCCCCAGCAGAGCTGGGATTAGGTCTACAAACTTGGGGTGTGATATGCTAGTAAAAACTGCAGTTCACCCCTCAAATCCACTATGCGGAAATGAGGATCAGTGCTACAGCTTCACAGGGAGCAACAAGGGGCCCTTTGCAATGCAGGACTACATTCTCTAGGAGCTCCCTGCAGCGTAGTGGACCCATGGAGCAGCTCATTGGACTTTCTGGTCTGGACCCCACCCTTTCCAGCCCATTGCTGACAGGCAGGTATAGGGGTACAGGGGCCTGGAACTACCCATTGGGGAGCCCCAAGTCCCAGACTGCTTGGGCATGGGTAAAGAACCCCCCAAGAGGGTGCCACCTATAGACTTTGTTTTGTAGCTTGTAGTGTTTAAAAATAATAGTGATTACTTTTGCTTTTCTTTATGCTTTGTAATAAATCTGTTTTTTGTGTTTACACTGCTTCCAAGAAAAGGGTTGTTGGTTTTATTGGACACCCTAGTAATCCATTTAGTGTTTTCTAGGTAGACTGGGTTGGGGTTTGAGCCATGGTAAAATATATTTAGTATCCCCAAAATTGAACCCAGCCCTTGTTGCTGCTGACAGGTGCTCAACAGAAGAGTTGAATAAGCAGGAGGTTTTGGATTGGGAGACATAAGGAGCTTCTGATAAGAAAATTAGGATCAAAGCAGCAGCTTCTGAGACAGAGCAGAGGTACCTGACCCAAGATTTCTGCTAGGGGAAGGTAGTCTGTATGCCATTTGTTATCATCTCAGTATGAGGAAAGAGGACTTGTGTGTATTTTGCAAACAAACTCATTGCACTAAGAGAATACCTTGCTTTGTGTCTGCTTCTGTACCTGACACTGTTCTTCAAGACCCTTGATTCAACTACTAGTTGGTAAAGGAGTAACAATATGCACTCTCCCAGTATGCAGAAGTGAGGACGTCCTATAATTATGCAGTAGGTAATGGTGAGTTTTATGGTATTGGGTACAAAGATGACAGTCTTTTCAGTCTTCATGGTTTAAGCCAGGGGAGGGCAAAATGTGGCCCGTGGGCCAGATGCAGCCCACCAGGTCATTCTATCTGGCCCACAGGGCCCCTAAAATAATTAGAAAACAAATATTTATCTGCCCATGGCTGCCTGTCAGGTGGCCCTGGATGGCTTGCCAAAAGTAAGAGGCTGTCTGCCTGAAATAATTGCCTGCCCCTGGTTTAAGCAGAGAACAGACAGAGAAACAGTCACAATACTAATGCTTTCTGGGTGGACTGGGTTGAGAAGCAGTGTAGGGACACAGCTGGGTGCCCAAAGAAAGGTGGAAGTGGTGGCTTCTGTTTGCCACAACAATCATAAACAGGAACACACACTTGCTAGCAGATGTTTTTTTTGCACAACCCCCACCCCCCATCAAATCAACACCCTGGGCAGTTCTCCCTATTACCCCTCTCTCCAGTTACACTACTGGGGACTGCTGCATATGAAAACTGTGAAAGCTTGGACAGTGTCTCGTGCACACAAATGCAAGACAGTGGCTGGGGCAACACTGGGTTAAGGTAACATGACTGCCATAAGAAAATCAAACTCTGCAAATGGTTTGCAACCCATTACGCATAAGAGAGATTGGAGTGCTTGTGGTACGCAATACCAGAGCCATGCCATAAGATAATAACAGTTGTAATAACAGCCCTCAACCTTCTACCATGCCTGAGCCTAAAAAAATAAGTGATGGTCAAAAGTATTGGCAGGGACCTAACACACTCATTGCATAAATTTAACAAGACTCAGAGAGCAAGCCAGAAAGCCAAATAGCCTGAGAAACCTACAAACTACATGTACATCTCAATTGAGCTAAGTGTCACTAAAGAAAACAAAAGAACTAAAATATCCATTTCAAAGCAAAGCCTGTAGGAGACAAGAAAAGCTAAGGTCTTTTGAAAATATGACTGTAAATATATCCTGGTTAACACATCCCCACTTTGAACTGCCAGCAAGGTGTCTGTACAGTCCAAGGAAGACCAAGAAGCCATCCTGCCACCCAGCCAGCAAGTGAAGGAGCCATGCTTTGAGGCTATACAAGAACTACTTCCAGGCTGCATTGGATAAAGATCTCGGTGCAGCTAAGATAATACTGAGGACTAATAGCTCATTTTATATTGGGAAGGAGTCTTTTCTGTCATTTAGTTTTGTAACTTATTGGTAGGTATTAAAGCAAGCCTTTCTGCTATTCATCAACTGAATGTTCTGTCAATTCATAAAGCACTTGGTTAGAAATTCAATTTTTAAGTGCAACACATCCTCTCACTTGGAACACTGGTCAGTGGACAGGACAGTGTGCGTTCCCAAGGCAGTCAGTGGTTCCCGGACACTGTGGCCAGAGCCTGCCACATCTGGCTGTGGGTTGCCCAATAGGCCAAGGGGTCACAGAGCAGCGCCTCCACATCCTTGGTGGAGCCACCAACACCTCCACACTACCTGCCTTACGGTTGGGTTTGGTGCCTCTGGACCCCAGCATTGAAGTCATGCCCTTGGCCCACATTGGCAGCGGCTGTGGTGGTAGAGATTAGCTCATGATAGGAGTGCTGGCAAAGGAAAGTGGATCCCCCTCTTCCACATCCCCCTGCTTGTGCCCTTCTGCCTCCCTGACCCTGTTCACCAGCACCTCCGTCCAGTGATCAAGGGTTTTGCTGCTGAAGATGCTCCCCTTCACCCTTGGGTCACACATGTCCACCAGCATGCAGACCGTACTGGACCGCAATGGATCCTGCTGGTTTTTGATGCCCTCCTTCAGCTGCTTCACCAGTGCCTGCATGTCTGGTGAAAGCGACTTGCCCCAGCCAGGAACATCAATCCCCTGGAACTTCTCCATTTCATTCTCAAGATCCTTCACTACAGGGATCACCTGGCTAAAGAGGGTGTCACAACCCAGTGATTTTTT